TTTATTTTTTGAAATTTTCGAAATTTTAATATATAAAATTTCGAAATTTTTTTAATTTTTCCAAAAGTAATATAATATTTTAATATCAAAAAAATATATATTAAAATGTCGAGGGAGTCCGGTAGACGGTCCGTGGATATGGGCGACGTCAACCGAAGATTGAGTAAAGGCAAAGCTAAAGCCACCTCCGACGGTTCGAGCTCACGCGGACACGGTTCTCGAGGAAGACACTCCGTCTCTTCGTTTCCTACTGTCCCAGATCATTTAATCGGGGACGCTATGACGGATGAAGAATTCAACCAGATTTATTCTGTTAGAGGAGACGCGAATCTCCCCACTCTTGATAGTCTATTCGAGGATGTTGATGAAGCAGGACTGGATAATCTTGACGGGGACGATGAGCCTATACCGCAAAGCAACGACGTCGACGTGGAGGCAGGTGAGCCCGAGACCTCTCGAGGTCCGGACAAAGGTAAAAAAAAAATATAAATACGAATTATTTGTTTATCATTTTGACAAAGACACAAAAGATGACATAGTTTATGAAACTTGTAAACATTGCGGGACCGTCATAAAAATGGAGTTTCCGGCGGTTATGGCGGTCCGGAAAAACACCTAAGGTCGAGGCATCCTGTGGAATACGCCAAATACGAGGCCAAAAAAAAGGGACGACAAGAAGTGCAAACCCAAATTTCTCGGTTTGCTAACAGAGGTAAGGGCGGCCTTTTTGCTTATAGCGACGAGCAAAATAGGCAAAAAATGGCCGAAATGATTTGTGAAGAAAATTTGCCATACATGTTTTCTGAAAAACTTGGTTTTATTGATTATTGTCAACAAGCATTAAACCCTCAAGCACGAGGTTTTTCAAGAAAAACAATTAAACGAAAAATTATTCGCCAGTATAAAATGGAAAAAATTAATTTGGCAAATTTTTTTCTCAATTTTAATTCTCGTGTTGCTATTTGTTCTGATATTTGGGGTGAAACTTATCATAATTTGTCTTATATGGGTGTTACTTGTCATTGGATAGATAATGATTGGATTATGCATAAACGTGTTCTTGCATTTCGTGATTTCAATGATCAGCATACTGCTGAAAATATTTTCCTATTGCTTCAGAGTATTCTGCGGGAATATAACTTATCTGAAAAAGTTTTTTCATTTGGTTTTGATAATGCTACTAATAATACTGCTGCTATTCCTACACTTAGAGAAATCTGCCCACCGTCTACGACTATGGGTAGATTTCTGCATCAACGGTGTGCCTTTCATGTTTTAAATTTATGTGTTCAACAGGGACTACAAGCTATGGGCGAAGTTTTGACAAATATTAAAGAAGGAATTTAAAAAATTTGGGGGGCTCGTCTTATTTCGAGATCCTGGAAGATGTTCTGTAAGTCTAAGGGTAAAAAAGAAATAAGTTTGCCAGAGATATCAACATTAGATGGAATAGTACTTACAAATTGATTGCACAGATCCTAAGATATAAAGAGGAACTTGCTGAATTTTTTAGGGATGAACTTCGTATAATCAGTAATCCTTTTGAATTTGTTATTGTTGAAAAATTGAATGCCGTATTAGAAGTTTTTAATAACGCAACTCTTACTTTTTCCCATGTTTACCAACCAACTACAAATACATTTTTTAAAGAGTGCATTACAATCGCAACATGTTTTCGTGAAAGTATGGCTGATCCAGATTTGTACCCTTATGTCTCTCCTATGAGAGATAAA